AAATAAAAGTTACCAATGGATTGAAGCTGCAAATGCAGTTGAAAATCCTGGTTTTATTCACAAAAGTGTGAATGGTTAAAAACTGAAAATGATAAAATAAAAACAAGCCTGGGTGCCATCCTTCTACTGCACACACAGACACACAAAACATAATAAAGCTTTGTGTGTGTGTTATTGTTATGTTTTCCACAAAGCTTGCCGAAATTTGACATGAGTGCAAGGACAAAAAYGGACTCCATATGCATGTCAGAAGATATTTAATCATTATTTTGTTGCCTAAGCACACAGAAATAAACCCAAACCTGCATGTGTTCCATCTTACTCATGGGCTAAAATAAACCCTGTTGTCAGTGAAGGTTATAGAATGACAGATTGAAGTGAACCGAGTGGAGATGGATGATGAAATGCACATGGAGATTTTGCTACGAATACAAACACATTCATTCAGTGTTGAGACGYAGAGAGAAGTGTGCCACTGTGGTGACTCTTAATAATTTAGAACTTTTCAGAGATGTGATGTCACTGATTCTCCCTATGGAGGCTCTTTCCCCATCTACATGTGTCTGTAAATTCATATGTGTGTGTATGTGTGTGTGTGTGTGTGTGTGTGTGTGTGTGTGTGTGTGTGTGTGTGTGTTGTTGTTGTTGTTGTTGTGTAAGACAGGAACGAACTGAGGCTTTGCTTGACTTTCATTTATGAATAAAACAGGAGCCAGAAAATGGTCAAATCTAGCTCTCTTCTTTTCATCAATTTCAGAATTCCTGCTTCCATCCCTCACATCTTTTAAAAAAACTTGGGTGTAACGTGGAGTAAACCCACCGACATACATACACAAATACACCTTTATAGGCAAAATGAGAAAATCCAACAATTGTCTCACCGAAAACCCTTTTTTATGCGTGCAAATCCATTTTCAACGCAGCCACTTCACACAAATGATATAGCCATGTTAATCTGGGCCCCTTTTGACCCAGGACTCRTGAGACAGTGTTGTTACCAACAGACCCACAAGCGCACACGCACTGCCGTTGCTTAGCCTGCATGCTTGGCTAAGTCATTAACAGGCGAGCAGAGAGGAGGAAATGGAATTAGCATTTTAATTGTTTTGCTTTGAGTGGTTTTCTACCCTCTGACAGGGATTAGAGCCTCTTCTCCGCTCTCCGCCGGCACGACTGTCAACAGCTCACTCTGCTGTCAGCAGCAGTCCTCRAACTTTGTGCGTGTGCGAGTTTCTGTTGAAGAGGGAGAAGCAGCCCAGCGCGCTAAGGTGGCGTGTGTGCATTTTTGAGTGTGTCACCTTCACTCTCTGGGGATTGGCCACATTTGGCTATCKGTCCTAGTCCAGCTGTTTTTGTATTTCACAAGTGAGTGAGTGGATGTTGAGATTCACGCGCATGCTTGTGTAGGTAAGCAACAGGACTGGTAATGGAAGAATAAAGGGGAGCTTATGCAGAATAGGATAACAAAAAAAAGGGCATGTGAGGACAATAAGATATTTGAAAACCATTCTCCAATATCACATGTTATGACTATAGGAGAAAGCAATTGAGAAAACTGCCACTGGACTTGTGTGTTTTTCTCATTATATTTAACCTGATACAGTGCCTTACAGTGCTAAAAGTTTTCTCCCACTTCAGCATTTTCCTGATATGCTGTCCTTAGAGCTGGAGCTGAAATGATTATGTTTTGGAGTTTCATTGTAATAGACCTAAAGCAAATAATAGTCTGTGGTTTTATACATAACTGTTGCAAAAGTCACTAGAGATTTCAACACTAATAGGCAAAAAATACCACTGCAGTGAAATAAAGGTCATCCATTCAGACATATCAGGGACTATTGTTTTACATATATATATAT